GTTACCATATAAATCTAAAAAAACTGTCATTTGCAGTCAATATTGACTTTGATTTAGTTTTTGCTTGGTCAATAGCGGAGAAAATAGGGGATTTGTTTTAACTGAGAAAAGCCTGACTTCAAAGGTACAATAATAGAAAAAGATGTGTTCAGTAAAAGATTGAGTTAATAGTTAAGCAGAAAAAACTGCAGCTTGTTGAGTGACCGACGTTCAGGACGGGGAAGAGTTAGTTCAGTTGACAGAGGAACACTGTGTCCTCAGTATCCCTTAAGTGCTATGGTTTCGAGATTCTGCACTAAAGGAATGTGTGTTGGCATATGGTTGCTTGCTCTCGGCTGAAGATTCAGCCGATTTTGGGCGGCATATTCAGCTCTATTTTCTTCGGCATGAGGCCTGGCTGAGATCAACGTCCGAAAACGCCATCAGAGCGGAAAAAGGATTCCACTGAGTCGTCGCCCAAGATTCTATAACGTTGTCCTGAATAAGGAAAAATAGTGATAGCTCTATTAAAAAAGGAGACTTCTGGTGAGTTTTGATACGTCTGGATCACCGGTGTGTCTCACTTGGAGGTTCTTGGACACCTAATCGACATCCATCCTGCATGCATCCTCTATCTGCCAAGGTGGCGGCCATAGGTGATTTCCCACCTCCTTCTTTTAAGTGTTAACTTCATCTCTTTTTGGGTATGGTGAATTCTACTACCTGTTCCTTCTGAAAAGTGCTGATATCGTTCTGTCGCTTATAATCTCCTATCTGGTCCCAAGCGTTCGCTCGAGCTATTCACAGATTCCCACGCTAGTCCACCATAGTCAATGCCAAACGTCTGATGCATTATTCCTCCGATGCCTCCAATGTTGCAGTCGGCACGCTTCTTCAACAATACGTTGAAGGTTAGACCGAAGCCCTAACTTTATTCTCCAGTAAGTTAAAATCTGCTGAATTCGGTAAACGGTACATTCTTATGGGAAATTCATGCTGTCTATCTTGCCATGTAACACTTTCGACACCTTTTCAGTGGCCTGGACATCAATTTATTCTCCAATCACAAGTCCTCTTCCGACGCCCCGAAGTCACTCACACAAGTAGAACCTCCGAGACTTTCAACAAATGAACTATGTTTCCTAGTTCACTTCCGACATTCGGCACACCGGCGGGTCGCACAATGAGGTAGCAACGCACTGTCCAAACTCTCCATTATGCATTTTAAACTAGCTCCTGGTATCGACCTGGCTGAGATGGCTGCGGAACAACGCCGTGTTTGTTGACCCTGTGATGATGGTATTTACTGATTCTAACTTTAGGAATTGCAACTGACCACTGGAAGTGGCACAATTCTCTGTCAGATCTCCGTCGCATCCCACCGTCTATTTATATTACTGTTCATTCACTACGACGTTTCCTCCTCCCTGCATAACTCATCTCACTGTGGGGGCCGAGCTACCGGAATGCTGGTTTCCAACCGCTTTATCTGACCTGGGATGCAAAAGGACCCAAAGTTTGGACACATTCTTGCCTCGGC